TTTCGTTTTCTCCGGAAATTACAATAGACAAATAAACATTATTCACTTTGCTCAAAAGGCGTTTCCTCTCGTGATCAGCGAAGCGAACGACACGTTTTCGAGAGAAGGTATGCTTCTGCTTTCCATTTCGTTTTCTCCAACAGCGGAGCACTGTACTCGGCTCACTCGCCGGTACTTCAACGTTAACTAAGCGCCACGGTTGTCATTAATATGTATCACCGGCCGTCGAAATCACGCGTCAAAGTTCTTTGTATATTTGAATTTACAACTAACTAATTTGTTCCACATATTTTCGCGAGAAGGTACTGATTCGCAAATCCCGCGCTCGTTACTTGGAGGTAAATAACAATCCGAGCGCGCCTTCAACGCCATCCATAATAAAGAATGCTATTGTATTTTATCGACAAGATTCTGTGGAAATATATCAGTTGCAATAAAAATTATTCAATCTTTCTATCTTTATGAAAATAAATGTTCTGTCGAAGGTACTCTATGCCACCTTTACCGTAAGTTAAAAAAAAGTAGTCGTTCTTAAACGTATCAGGAAACTTTGTTATTTTAGTCTCTCGAGATAACATTTATCGCTCTAGGTATTGTTCGAAAGAAATACAGTCTGATTGATAAACTTTTCTGTTGAATATGATTGTAACGATTAGTCAGAGTTGTATCTACATAAAACACGAAGTATGTAGAACTCGACCAGAGATTGTAAGCAGATGTTTAATTTCAGTTTTCCCTAGCAACCTTTATAATATTTGCGATGGTCTTGGTAAAACATAACAATATATAAGAATATTATTGGGCATAAGCTTTCCGTACGGCTAAGCAGGAACAAAAGGAAGAAACCAAACAGAGTCTGAATGTTTCACTTGTAAATATGACAAATTAAAGTCGAAAGAAAGACTGAAATAATCTCAAAACTAAAAGTGTAAGTATCAAGTTAAACTGATAGCGACAAATTAGCTGAATTGAAAATAACACAACTGTGTTGGGTGCGCAAGTTGGATACAGTCCATTCTGTGTTGTGTATTTTCACATTTCAGTTTGATTAATATTGATTAATGTTGTGTTCAGAGTTACTCCCTTTGCGACTTCAACCCGCCTTAAGCCCAGTCAGTTGTCAGTCGTGTTTTTGGATTTCCATTTCGGGTTTGAGGTCATTCATCCTGTACATAAATAAGTAAGGTTGATACATACAACCATTCATCAAATTATAAATATCTTACTTGTGACAGATTAGGATCAAAATGTAAGTCGAAGATATGGTGAAATATATTTATACACAACATAGAAATCACTTTTCGAACCTCACGACAGCCGTTCAAAAAAGAAGAGAGCGGAGTGTAGCCAAAATCTCCGGTATCACTCACCCACTACGTGGTATTACGACAAAGTGGCTAATTTTGGATTATTTTGATGTCCGTCATTTGACGTTCATGCTAACTTTACCCGCATTTTATTGAGAGGTAGCTGCCACTGTCTTCCTGAAAATTGTAAGTTTCGTCTGCGTAAAGAGTTGTTAGAGATGCATGTTTTTGAGTGAATGTGACTGTCAGGTTAAAATAGTCATTCTTTTATGGTTAATCTCTCATCATTTAACCATTTTCTATCATCAAAGACCGACTTTCAACAACTCATCTTCATTTCAAAATTGTTTCCTTGCCAAATTGTGTTTGCTCGAGGGTCACCACGATCGGTGGCTGGAAAATTGGGTCACATGACTGAAACCACGCACGCACACACACTCAGTGACAGTGACATGGCGTTAGTTGGGCAATCATCGTGTGACAACTTTCGTCGTGAAAAAGGCATCTTCCTCCATTTTTTGTAGTTGTTCAAAGTGTACTAGCACCTAATGCCTGGGAAATTTTACAATACAAATGAAAAACGAAGTTTGTTGGTAGAAAGATCCATTTCAGGTCAAAATCTTTTAGCATTGTTTTGGAACAAGGCAAACATGACTCAATCATCTTTCAAAGCAATTACATAGGTACTAAAAACCTCAAATATTGGACCCGAACGATTGCTGGAGACAGTAGAAGATTGGTACAATTAAAACACTTCTCTACTGTCAATATGATAAGTGGGGAATTTTTCAAGGTACCGATTCCAATGCTGTTTCCTCCTGGACTTAGTTTTGTAGATTCTCAGCTGAAAGGATCTGGTGGGCTAGTGTCCATGGAACCCTCAATAGCATGTGATTCCTATGACTGCTACATAATAAACAATTCGTTGTCAACAACTGTTTGTTTTTCAATGCTCAACTTTCAGTTGTTAACAATTAAGGGGTCCTCTTTTCTGAAAAAGGAAATGGTTGCTGAGGTTTTGAGCAGTTTTTTTTCTGTCTGCCTCTTGTTCACTGCAAGATATGACACAATTGTTCTCTTGTCAACAACACATACTCAGTCTAGTCTGTGCAGTGGGTGCACTGGACTGAATTAGTTGTCAATATGAAGTAGTTTTTGAAAACTTAATGTCTTATTGAAAGAGGCAATTTAGTTTGTCTCTAGGATAGCCCTTAGATAATTTAAACTGAGAGATTCAGGGTGAAAGTGGGTGAAAAAGTTTACAGCAAAATGTTTAAAATTGACATGGTTATACAACAAACCACTCTTATTATTATTATTATTATTATTATTCCTCTTTATTACATAATCAATAATTTTTTAGCTGTCTTTTGAGGGAAAGAAAAAATCAGTACATAGTTCAGATGCACTTGTCAAGAAGAAGCAGCTGAGTAAGTTTAATAAAAAAAACCAATGTTTCCTTATCAAAACAGAACATCCACTCACACATACTCAAGGAGTTCTAAATTTTTATAGGGCTGTGTGCAATGGGATTCAAACATTAGAAGATGGGTTTATACGTGTCTCAGTCACACAGCAAACTTGTTTTTCGAATTCTTTCGATCCTTTAGAGAAGGGTTATATTTCTCAGCTTAACCACTGACAGGAATCTTATACAATGTCTTAGCCAAAAGTCTTGAAAATATGAGTCAACCTGTCCAGTTGACTCATACCTAGTTACCAGGATTTTCAAAAGGAATTCAGTTAACACGACGCGTTTCACAAGGTCCAGAGGAGCTCAGTTTGAACACATTAATTTCTTTTTAAAAACCGAATTCTTACCCTATTAATCCTTATCGCTTCATGAAGTTAATAAGCCCAGTACCGAATCGTTGTGAATCCTTTAGCAACAGATTTCCGGCTCCATGTATGAATCAAAAGCAACTTTAACTTTAAAAGGCGTGTTGTAAAAATTGGCACGGTCACTGTGTTGTATCGTACAAGGTTGCGAGCAAGATCCCAACACGTTCCTTTGCTTCTACCATGCGCAGCAAAACAATGGTTGCGAAGTTAATAAGGCAAGTAACTAACACGCAGCTAAAGTGTTAAAAGCTAGTTCTTTTTTCTTAGCGTGCGAACGTACATGATGTGTGTGGGTTCGCCTTATTCCCTGAAATCCCGTGGAGGGTCACATATCTTCTGTTGCAGTTTGGACACTATTGCATCCTGAGTTCATCCACAAAAGGATTTTTTTGGTCTAGTGTGATAATTTCTTTGATATCTGGGACACTGTTTTTGTAGGTAATGATGTAATTATATGTTGATTGGTATACTAATTAACTGAAACTTGTGTTCTTTAGGTAATGGCTTCTATTGATGATAATTCGCCACATGATTTGATAAAAAAAAGAGTTGTGGTCGTAACAGGGTTTTTTCCCTACAATAAAGAAGCACGTAGAGTGTTCATGCCAAGCTCAAGAGAGTTACGAGAAATAAAGCGAAATCCAAAGCTGAGTCAAGAAATCTCATTTACCAAAAGCATGACATCAGAAGATGTAAAAAAAGTGCTAAAGAATGCCTTCCCTATTCTTGCTAACACTGAAAGGTAATATTTTAAAGAGTAAATCAACTTAAATAATTGAAACTTGTCTGATGAAAAATTGACATTTAAATTGTAATTTGTGTCTAATTCAAATTTGAAGGAATAGCACATTTTTTTAAGTGCCTTGAATTCTTAATTATAACTTTTAAAGTAATTGTTAAACAAGTCTGTGATTCCAACAAGGATTGTTTTGAGGTTGTAAAAAGTAAGGAAAATCATGGATAGTTTGTGATTTGCTCTCCATATTTTTCCTTTGAGTGAAATTATTGAAGCCTTGTTTACCATGTTTACTTGCATGTCTAACTGACAATACACACGGTTGTTCCCTGATATTTTCGTCCTTCCCATTTAATTGTGTTAATTATGACATTTTCAATCTTACAAAAAGGTGTAGTGGATCAAAGACTGGGCCATATATATATATATATATATATATATATATATATATATATAATTGTGCTTTCATGTTACTGGGCCATGTCTGTGTAATATGTGGATAGGCCTTGAAACATCAAGAACAGAATCCTTAGTTGTCTTTAATCTTTGTTACCAACTTTCATTTGCAGATTTTTTTGTGCAAAAGAAGTTCTAAATCTGCGCAGATTTTTTTGTACAAGTGCAGCTCGAAATCTGAACAGACTCGACTTCTGTGGAAAGCGGCGTATTTGGAGTGGGGAAGTCATCAACAGAAATATAGGGAGAAAGTGTCTGTACATCTACTGTGAGGTTTGAATTATTAATCAGTCCGATATGAGGCAATGTTTAAGAATATTAATTTACTTAAGAATATTAATTTGCTTTATCTTTCATGCACTTGGTTGATATCATCTTGACATCAAATACCTTATGTAGCAGTCTGAGACCACCTTCATTTGCGGATTGCTTTAATTTTAGAAAACATCACACAGAACACTTAGAAGTATTGTCAACAATAAAAATAACAATAATAATAAAAAATAATAACTTTATTCACAATTCAAGATTATTTACAAAATACAATTGATAAAATGAATATACGAAATTTCATCAAAATTCAAAATCATGTATAATACAAAAGCATTTAGCTTGAAAATTTTCCTAAAAAATAAAATTAAAAAATAGAAAAAAAAAAACTTTACGACGTTTATTTTGCAGTCTAAGGAGTATTCTATCTTGCTGTGAAAAGGCGTTCGTGAACCTCTCACGCATGCGTGTACCGATCGTAGAAGTTCGAAAGAGTTTTGTGTCCTGAGCCATGAGATAACGGTGTTATACGGCTCGGTGTCCTTCTAAGCTATCTTATCTGCAAGATGCTTCAGGAAACGCTGACACTCATTTCACATACCGCCATTGATTCTAAACACTAAAGGTGTGAATGAACCCATCTCTGCATCTAGCAACCGCTGCTGGTTCTTGCGTTTCTTCTCGTCCTCTTGCTCCTTGAATACTTCAGATGTTGTCTTGTTCTGGTAACACTTGGTACTAACGTACCTCGTTAGGGAGAGGCTCTGATTGACCAAACAAAGTCGGAAGAAGTAGGTCGTCAATCGCCTCCTGGATTGGATCGACATAATCCTCAAACGAATCTATAGTGCGCATGAAGTAGGTGAACTTTGACTTGTACGCTTTTGTGAAGGCAATGTACGCTGTGTGAGGCTGACTCTTTGCAATTTCGGAAAGCCGTTCGATTTCCTCTTTCAATATGAGAATTTTCTCCTCACAATACTGATCTTTGTATTCTTGTGACGCAATGACTGCTCCTTGATGGCGCTAACCTTCAGTTGTTATATTGACTTTATCTCCAAACACCCTCTTTGCTCCATCTGCAAGTGCCTCAGACTTAAGACTTAGCCAGCTCTCTGACCAGCTCCTTGACCCGTTCACGAGATATCCAAACTTTTCTCCCTCTTTACTCAATTGCTTGTACCAGTCCTACAACTGGGCGATTCTCTCTCCTCCAGCAGAGTCGTATGCAAGCCACACCTGTTTAACGATCGGGCAGTGCGCTCTCAGATTCTCAATCATTATAGATGTATTGACTGAGTTCCATGGCATCGCCAGGGGATACCCCTGCGTACTGCATTCTTGTGAAAGTACTTCACCTCCACCGCAGATAAACAGTTTAGATGGACTTTTAGAGGTGTTAATTATATAGAGCGCCATTTCTTGGCACGTGATCTGGATATTGTGCAAAGCCGCTGACCTGTTCATTTGGTTAAAGGCGTTACTTGCATTGATCAGCAGAATCCCATCTGTTCCTTCTTCTTGAAACACTCGGCTCATTGCATGTATCGCAGGCTCCACTCCTTCATTATGACCAGCACAAACTTGTAGGAGACCTGCCGCTTCTTTTATTTCCTCCTCTAAGAAATCACTGACCGTTTTTCCCACTATTCGCCTCAGGACCTCTCCAACACCGATTGGTCTGATTCCAGGGTTCTTGTCGAGCGGGATGAGCTTGCAAGATGTAAAGGCTTCGAGTAAAGATGGATGGTACGATTTTTTAAACAGATTTCTCGTGAACACAGCTATCTCTATTCTTAGGATTTTACCCTGAGTCTTAAAGTTCTTAGAGCAAAGGATTCTCCTATAAAGCTCCGAGTCCATTCCCGGTGGCCCTGCTGAGCCCTTGGTTTTGCTTGCTGAGTTGTAAATCATTTCTTCGTCTTAGAGATCGTACATGTTTGGTGGAGTATAATCAACTAGACCGTGCAACAAACTCTCCTCTGCAATATCAGCCGCCTCAAGTAGTCCTCGCAGGACGTCTGGTGGTAGGTCGAGCAGGCCAGACGAGCTCTCGTTATCTAGGAGTTTCATTGCAGCTGACAATTTTCCTTGCAGAACCAGTTTTGAAAAACTTTGAATACGTCCTCGACCGTCCTAGCTTTCTCAGAGTTTACAAATTTCCCTTGTATAAACCACACCTCTTTAAACAACAAATCAAGGTCCCCTTGCCTCCAGAGAGCTAATCGACGCTCTATTGCTGCGCTGTGTTCCTTGCTTTTAGAAGTAGCGGACGGTTTTTGCAGGATTAAAGTTGGGAGCACCATGAATGCTTTCAAGGCAACTGAGTTCAAATCAGAATCTGCATTGAACTGCTTAATCCAGAATAATAATAATAATAATAATAATCGCAAATTTACAGAAACTAAGTTATAGAATAAATAATGAAATATTGCAGATCCCTGATTTAAAACCCTGATGATTGATAGGTGCTAATTAAAGTGACTGCGAATAATTGTCTTCATTTTTTTTTAGTTAACACAGTTTTGAATAGACAATTACATTTGTATTGACGGTCATTCAAAGTTTTTACTAAAAATCACAGTTTCATTGAATTGTGAGCTATTCATACTTTACAGAAAGTAAAATTTGAGCTGGATCCCCTCCCTCAAATGACAGAAATGAAAATGAAGATCCGTGGAAAGGTGAGTACTGGTTTTCCTAGTCACTTCACAGGAGGATGTTTTACTTTGAAAATGTACTTATCTAGATTTACTCAGCTACTTGTAAATGTTTCACTGGAGACAGAGATCTGCCCTCGTTGTTGTGTTTTATTGGAGCAAGCACTGTTCAAAAATTAAAGTTTTGAAAAACTTTGAATACATCCTCGACCGTCCTAGCTTTCTCAGAGTTTACAAATTTCCCCTGTATAAACCACACCTCTTTAAACAACAAATCAAGGTCCCCTTGCCTCCAGAGAGCTAATCGACGCTCTATTGATAATAATAATAATCGCAAATTTACGGAAACTAAGATATAGAATAAATAATGAAATATGCAGATCCCTGATTTAAAACCCTGATGATTGATAGGTGCTAATTAAAGTGACTGCGAATAATTGTCTTCATTTTTTTTTAGTTAACACAGTTTTGAATAGACAATTACATTTGTATTGACAGTCATTCAAAGTTTTTACTAAAAATCACAGTTTCATTGAATTGTGAGCTATTCATACTTTACAGAAAGAAGATTTTGAGCTGGATCGCCTCCCTCAAATGAGAGAAAATGCAGATCAGCATACCTTCCCTCAAATGATAAATGTAAGTCTGAATACCTCCTCTCAAATGGGAGGAAATATAGAGCAGGATACCTTCCTTCAAATGAGAGAAAATATAGAGCAGGATACCTTTCCTGAAATGAGAGAAATGAAAATGAAGATCCATAGAAAAGTGAGTACTGGTTTTCCTAGTCACTTCACAGGAGGATGTTTTACTTTGAAAATGTACTTATCTAGATTTACTCAGCTACTTCTAAATGTCTCACTGGAGACAGAAATCTGCCCTTGTTGTTTTGTTCTATTGGAGCAACCAGTGTTCAAAAATTTAAGAACAATGCAAATTGAAAACTTCTTACCTCCACCTTACAGTTTCCTATTTTTTTTCAGAAGTTTTAAAAGCAATTTTGTTGAGCCTTTCTTTCCAAATACGTTAACATTCCAAAAGGATGAGAAGTGTTCCATATGTCCTGGTGGCTTTGAGTAACTAAGTAAATTTTGGGGGAATTTTTCAGCCACCTCGTGGAGAATGCTATTTTTGTGCTTTCCCTCCTTTAGTTCATTTTAGAATGTAAAGTATGCGTGATATCCACGTTTATTTCATATTTTTATCCCTAGCACCCAGCATATACTGAGCCAGCAATAGGAACTTTATTTCATACTATGCTGAATATGTTGAATTTTGTTTCTTTACCAAGGAATCGAGGGAATCGAGGGAATATTGTATTCCAAGTGGTGAAGAAACATACAACATTCTTCAAGGTGATGATAGCTTTTTTTATAATTTTTGATTAAATTTTACTCAGGAAATGAAGTCATTTTCTGAGTTTTGGTAGAACTTTGAATGTCACTCCTTTGCTCGCTCCTTCCATCATTTCCTGTTAACTTAAGTTAAGTGAATCCACTGACGAGCGTATAGGGGTTCCGTAGCCTCTGTGTGCTCTCGATGGTCAGTTAGTTCAATGGAAATAGAATAAGAGAGATCGTTAGTTTTGAGCTCGGTAAAGAAATAAAGAAATATGTTTTCTGTCTTGTCACAAGTCTCCATGAGGAAACAAACCTCAGAACTTTGGATTCTGCTCTCTGATGCTCTACCATTGAGACACAGAGACTCTATGGTGAGTGAGGTCTATTATGAAGAGGTCTATCCTGAAGTTTCTCTCTTGATTCCTCATGGGGACTCAGTATTATTTCTTTGTCTCACGCTCCAGACAAGACAAAAACATCTTTCTCTTTTTCAATGGAAATTTCAAAGGGGGTAGCTGTTTGCAGAACTACACAGGTTTGAAAATTCTTTAAATGTAGGTGCTGCCAGTAAAAATCTTTCTTTTTCTACCTATGTCACGTTTAGACTCACAGTCGCTCTATAATATTTGCACTGTAAGGCGACAATCGTATGTTTCCAGGGTCTTCTCTTACTTACATCTGATAACATAATAACAAATCCCTATCAGTTTTCTGCCTTGGAACAAAAGGAAAACAGTTTATGTGAACACAAGTGTTTTTGACTGATTGCATTTTAAGATATGAGGCAGTGAATTCTTTTAACTCAGAAAAGCACTGGATTATTTTCATCCGCAAAAATGACCGATCTAGCCACCGATGTTTATTTGAGATAACTGAATTTAATCAATGAGCCAAAAACTTAAACTCTTCCCTCGGTTCTTGTTTCACATCCGATCATAAACAACTGAAGCAATTCACAGTGCTGGGTCTGTGCCTGAACACCCCATTTTGCACTACAGTTCTAGAAAGAACTCAAAAAATAATTCCCCAGCACTCAACCCAGTGACCAATTGATTTCAACGAACTTGTATCCGTTGCACACCTCACCACTCTTCACAATATTGTCTGGGTTATGTAGCTCACAGATCGGGTGTGAATCCGTGAATGTCATTTTGAACGCAGTAAGCGGACTATAAGGAAGTTTTGAGCCGTCTTAAGTGTATGATGATTTTGCCTGCCTCAAAGCAACGCCTTATTGACCACACAGTCTCTCTACTAAAAGCTTCATACTGTATAAAGCTGTTAATAACAGGAGAGTTCGCCCAAGCTGTCTTACATTTTTTTCAAAGTTGAAGTGAAACAAAAACTGCATTGAAATATTTTTAGAACTGTGAACTGCATCTTATCGTTTTTACGCGAAAACAGATGTTTTCTTGGATGCCTTGCTTTTACTTTCAAACTACGCCCTGTGCTTCGAGTGTGATTTATGTGCATGGATACGTTCGCTTTTTCGATCGGGTGAATAAACTGCAATGATTAAGTTAGTTCCTCTTTTGATCTTTCTTTGGTTATTTTGCTGTTTCCTTTCGCTTAATGCAATAGACAAAAAAACATTATTCACTTTGTTCAGAGGCCGTTTCCTCTCGTCATCCGTGGAGCGAGCAACAAATTTTCGAGAAAAGGTATGCTTCTGCTTTCCATTTCTACCTTTATGAAAATAACTATTCTGTCGAAGGTGCTCTATGCCACCTTTAACCTAAATTAAAAAGGTAGTTGTTCTTAAATGTATCAGAAAACTTTATTTTTTAGTCTCGCGTGATAACATATATCGCTTTGTGTATCGATCGAATGAAATACAGTCTGATTGATAAACTTTTCTGTTGAATATGATTGTAACAATTAGTCAGAGTTGTATCTACATAAAACACGAAGTACACGTAGAACTGTCCGCCGGAGATTGGAAGCAGATGCTTTTTTCAGTTTTCAACTTGTAACCTTTATATTAGTTCCTCTTTAGACCTTTTTTGGTTATTTTGTCGTTTCCTTTCGCCTATTGCAATAGACAAAAAAAAAAGAGATATTCACTTTATTCAGAAGCTGTTTCCTCTCGTGATCTGCGGAGCGAGCGACATATTTTGGAGAGAAGGTATGCAACTGCTTTTCATTTCGTTGTCTCCGGGAGCGAAGCACTGTGCTCGGCTCACTCGCCGGTAATTTAACGTGAACTAAGCACCTTGTTGTCAGGAAATCATACGTATAAATAACGCCATTGTATTTTATCGGTAAGATTCTGTGAAAATGTATCGGTTGCAATAAAAATTATACAAACTTTCCACCTTTATGAAAATAAATAATCTGTCGAAGGTGCTCTATACCACTAGTCTAGCTGTTATCGACCAAAAAAACACTGAATTGTTCAAATTAATGATAAAAGCATGAGACTTTGCCACAACACTTATAACCCTGAGACTAACATTAATAATAACATATAAGGCCAATCCAAATTAACTTCTTGAGACGAGAACAACGCATGTCAGGAATTCGTTAACATGGAAACGAGGGTAAGAATTAAAAAATCCTCTTAAACTACATTGCTTGGAGAAATTTGCGACAAAAGCCATCAAATATAACCACCGAGTCGTTTTCTATCCATTCGTATTCATCTTATGCCATTACGTGACTATCCTCTTTGATATTTATCGTATTGTTTGATTTGTCTGTGGTTAAAAGTTAAATACACCTATTTACACTACTTTCTGAATCACGATTGATAAAACTTGATTATCTTAGAAACATAAAGCTTATATCTATGCTTGCTTTGCCATTCTCTTCCGTTACTTTCGTAAATTTTTCCTCCTGTTATAGATAAACTTCAGTTAACAGATTTCCCCATTTCAGAGGAGTGTAGCTGAACAACTTACCACAGGCATCCCAA